ATCCTCCAACAGTTCTGATAGATGCTTGAAATCAAATTTTACATGAAATTCCTAATTTTAAAATCTGGCAAAAATTTACACTTTTTACCACTTTTTAGGCCAACAATGTGCAGACTTTAAAAAAAAAGAACTGTATTCACGCGTATGTCTATATATACACACACAGACACCATCAGGCTGACTGAGCTCTCAGGCCATCTTACGGGAAGGTGTATCTCCTTGTTGCTCTCCTCTCAGTACCTACCACAGTACTGGTTGAACTGAATCAAAATATATGATAGTACCTACTTTCTACTCAACTCTCCAAAAGATGACGTTAGAGGTAATTTATATATAATTTATAAGAAGTGAGCTGGGTTTATTTAATATTCATTAATTCACCAAAAACTTCTTTATATCCCTAATCTGTACCAGGCACTGGGAATATACTAGTTAAAACAAGCAAACAAAAATTCTTGTCCTGATGGAACTCACATTCTAATAAGAAAGACAATTTAAAAAAGGTAAATGACTAAAATAACATATATACTCTGTCAGCTGATGGTCTAAATACTGAGGGAAAAAAATAAAGCAGGGAAAGGGTACTTAAAATGTAGAAGACTTGGGTGGTCAAGGAAAGCTCCTTTAAGAAGGTGACCTTGAGTCACAACATACAGCCATGGTTATCTACGGTAAGAGCACTGCAGAAGAGGGAACAGCACGTGCAAAGGTTCTAATAATGCAGGAAGGACCACAATGGACAGTGGGTAAACAACAGACCGGTGTGGCTGGAGCAGAGGAGGGGAGCAAGAGGAGATGAGGCCAGAGTAATGGGGAAGGAGACCAAGTAGGCTGGAGGGGTCAAGCTAAGTGAGGAGGGAAAACTTCTGGGGTCTTCTCCTGGTATCTGAACTAACAGAAAGGAATTGGAGCCACTTTTGTGCCTGCATACTGTCATTGTGGCCGTGGACACAGAGGTCACAGGCGAGGCAGTGGGCTCAGCTCCAGGTCACTCCAAGTGTAGAGGGATGCCTGGATTAGCTGGGTTGGTTCTGGAGCTGGCTCACTTCAAGTCTACAACAGGAATCTTGCTGGCCTCTGATGATGGGAATCACCCAATGCTTACCATGGCACAGACTCAAATACCTAGCTGACATACTATCAGGAAGTTGAGAAGGCATCAATTTTGGAAACTTGTTTCCTATTGGTATTTTACTGAACAGTGACAGATATTAAGACTCCTTTAGTAGGCTGGTATACTAGTTACAAAACTCAAAGAGCTGTGCTTTAGTATAATGTACCAAATACAGTAATCAAATCAACAGGTTATCACAAAAGGTACTTGTATTTCACATCTGAAAAATATAAAGAGGGCTGAAACTGTAAAAAGCTCAGTGCTCCTGGTTTTCTCAAGGGCACTGTGAAAAAATGGCCTGAAATCAACAGGGCACAAAATCAGACAGGTTGACAAGAAATTCTTTATCACTTAAAACATTGACCAAAATTCTATACTGAAAGTGCTTTCCAATCATGTAATAAACCTAAGAAAAATAAGGACTCTTCAACTGCCTCTGAACTAGCTTTATTCTTACATCAATTCTACAACTATTCAGGAAAAGCTGTGATGCATGGGAGCACCAAATCCAATATAAGCATTCATATTATTTCCACCACGATGACAAGATCATATTTTAAATATTCCAATATTGCCACTCCCTAAAAGTCAGTTGATGAATCAAATCTTTTATTTCCGGAGACTTTAGTAGTAATATAATAATCAAATAAAAGATGAGCACCTACACAAAAAAATACAGTTGGGGGCAAGGTATAGCTCAGTGGTAGAGCGCATGCCTAGCAAGCACAAGGTCCGGGGTTCGATCCCCAGTACCTCTATTGTAAAATAAATAAATAAATATAATATAATTACCTCCCCCTCACCCCCATAGAAGTATACAGTGCTGTATGTCAATTATATCTCAATAAAAACTGGAAGAAAAAGTATGATTTTTTTTAAAAATACAGACAAAAGAAAGGAAATTAAAGAGAGTAGGGGGTGGGGAGGGTATAGCTCAAGTGGTAGTACGTATGCTTAGCATGCCCAGGTCCTGGGTTGAATCCCCAGTATCTTCTCTCAAATTAAATAAGCCTAATTACCTCCACTCCCTTCCAAAATAAACTAATTAAACAATACAGTAATAAATAAATAAAATACAAAACAAAGTTGAAAAAAATAGAGTGGGGATAAGAAAAAATGCCACTCAATTAACAGAAGAAAAATTAGAATACACCTTTATAATGGGATATGAATTGATGCTTTTCTGAATTTGGACAGTTGGCCAGTTTGCACCACTCAGTGAAAAGTCTGACCAATAAGTGGCTAGCTTCCAGCTTAACAGCTGCTATCAAAGAATATTTTATGAAACAATGTGTCTTTATTTTCTAATCTTTCCCAGTAGCTACCTCTAAGCAATTATGACAAACAATGCTTTTGTCTGCCACTTGGCGGTGATATGCACACATTTATGATTTTATTCATTTCCCAGTTCAAACAATCAGTCTTTTCAGAGAATGATTCAACAACTTTTTCCTCAGATTCTAAGATGAGGTCTGGAAAATATCTTACAGATTCAAAGGAGCCTTTTTATTCAGCCCAATATATAAGGTTAGACAAAATCCAAACACATCATCATTTACATTATCTGACTATCTTGGCAGAATCACTGCCCTTTGATGATTATTCATACTTCCCCTGACACAAAGTTGAAGGAATGTTAGTATGTCAAATGGCATTTCCATCTCTTTAACGGAAATTTTCCTCCAGACAAAATAATTTTGTAAAATTTATTTTCCAATATACAAAGACCTTCTTTAATAAAACAGCAAAACTAACCACTAACATAAATGGGATACCGGATGTGTTATGCAAATAAATACTCATTATTAGGCAAAAAAGCGGATACTGAGAACAATTTAATATTTTAGGATAAAACTTCCTGACCAAATACTTCTAGCATCATTCACTGGAATTATTTTGTATGCCAAGAGGACTGTGGTCATGTCCCCACGTTACCTCATGCCTAATGCCTTAGCAGCTTTTCAGAAAGGCCTGAATCTGATCAACAAGAAAGAAATCAGATCTTCCTCTTTCCACTGCACTCCACCGATGAGTAAGGGACAAGACCTCTTCCAGGAAGAAAATAAGCCTTGCCAATCATCCAGGAGGCTGGACTGTGCTAGCAGTCTCTCACTACTAATACTGTTTTAAAAATCAAATACTTTTAAGAAGTTTCTACCCTTATTGTACCATCAATGCATGTCTTTTCTGGAAATTTTAATAATACAAATAAGTTAAAATATAGGAAAGTAGTTACTCTGGCTTTTTCATCATTTTTTCTTCACTCTTGGGAGTCTCGAGGCTTAGATTCTTTGAGCTTTCTTTAACTGGGGTTTTAGACAGACCGGACTATAGCCAAATAACAGAAAGAAACTGAAAACAGAGGCAACCATAATAAAAGATAACCATTAAATCACTCAATTCAACTTTGATAAGCCACTATAGCTTTGTATTTTTAATAATGATTAACAGACAGGAACCTTATCTGGACTTAGGTGTAATTTTGAGTAGCTCTCCCCCTTCTGTTATCCCCACTGAGCCTCAGTTATTCACTGTAGTATTAACTTAGACAGGAGGGAAGGGGGCAGGGCACAACCATTAAAGAATGACACAGCAACTGAGGACAGGACATAAACTGGTTAGAACCGAGACGGTGGGAGAGTCAACTCCCAGTAGACCTTGAGGCCCAAGATGGCAGAAGATTTGACTTCCAGTAAACCTTGAGCTTCATTATGCACCCATTGTATTATACCAGCATGGGAAATGGCATACCCACAGGTGCCATGACATTTCCAAGGCTAACCATTCAGGCCAAAAAGTGGGTGGTGGCCCAATTTCTGGGAATCCCCACCCCTTCCCCAAAGCAGTTGGAATAATTCTCCAACTTGCTAGCATATGAAGTTACTGAGCTGTAGCCACCTCCACACCTCGTGGCCAATCCCACTTTCCTAGGTTGACCCCATGCTCTAAGGCTGCCTCTCGCCTCATGAGATGGCACGAATTCTGTCCATGGAATGTGTGTCTCCTAAGCTGCTCTCCCTTCTGAGTGAGACAGGCCACATTCTATGGAACGTGTGTCTACTAGGACCTCTCGTGCTCTCACCCTTGGAGACAGCCCACACTGTCTATGGAGTATTTATCTGCCTGAATAAATCTACTTTCACTCTACTATGGCTCACTCTTAAATTCTTTCCTGCGCGAAGCCAAGGATCCTCAATGGATAGGGCACGTCCCCAGGGACTCGCCTGGGACCTGGGACATGGCCATCCTCTCCCATCCCATTTTCCTGCAACAAAATGACATAGTGACTTCTAAAATTCCTAGCAAGGAGTTTTTTGCATAGTACTTGGAACTTAATGGGTTGTTAGAAATGAAGAATAAATGAGTTAATAAATGAATCGAATTGTATGAAAATGGATCTTAAAAAATCCAGAGGGGAAAAAAGCAACACTGCCACGTGGCAGCTATACAATGAACATCTGTTTAGTCATAGTTCCATTAGATCCAGCCCAGGCTCACTCACTAATGGTAAAAGAGATAATCCAGGGCAAAGTTAAGATTACAAAGTTTGTGTTCTTTAGGCATCTTTAGGTTCTCTAGTTCTTCTCCATCCTTAAGCCATGCTGTAGATAATTAACACTCAAACACAACATGGAAGGCCGTGAAAATTAGAGGAAAAAAACCCTGAAATTAAGAATTACAGACCCAGGAGTTCTAATCTTGCCTCCCTCAATTCCTAACTACAGTGAAACTGAGCATATTTAAAACCTCTGATTTTCTGTTTCCCCACTCACAGAATGGGGATTACAGCAAGCCTACTCTACAAGATTACTCTGAGGGCACCTCCAGAACAGCGTCTAGCTCACGACTGATAAAGGGAAGCGATTTCTTCTTCAGATTCACAATGAAGTGCAGGGCTAGCATTCTAGACTCATCTCAGATAATGAGGGTACTGACTTGTTCTGTTTTGCTTAGGGGGAAAAAAAGACAATCTCCTAAATACACACAATTTCATTAATGGAAAAAACAAAACAGAACAAACAGAAAACAAACTCCTGAATTTCCAGTATCAATTTCATACAAAAAAGGGACCTCTATCCTGATCTGGTTTCTATGTCCCAAACTGTAGATGCCAACTTCTTCCCATACTTAACTCTAAATATATGATTGTTTTACTAGTAAAGTAAGATAAAATAAGCAGAAACTTAGTAAACTTGAATAACTAAAAAGGAACACTTAGGTTTGAGTCCTAAATACTGTTTTCACCTGTTTGTCCTCTTTGAGGATAAAATTATCTAGAAAGTTTCAGTTCTTTTCAGCTCAGATTTAGAGGTCTCTGAGGAAGATACTACTCAAATTTCTTCTAGCACGTAAATCATTGTATATACTACATTTCCCTTCTCTTATGCATATGCTGAGATTTCCTTTATCTCACAAACTCTAAAATTCCATTCATTCCTTTCAACCCAACACCCAAGCCTGAGTTTCCATTCCTTCTCCCACTTCAGTTTTGGTGTCTTTCTAGCCAATCCAAAAAAATCTTTCATCTTCCCCCATAAGCAACATTTGTCCACAAAATGCTTATTGCAAAAATGCTATCTGAAGACAAAGACTTGAGAAACTCAACAAGAAAATTCCAGGAACCAAGTGAGAAAACAAGTAACAAAAGCCCACAATTATACTCCAAAAAAGCTGAAACTTAAAAGATATTATGACAAATATTAAACATACACAGCCCTGTTATAACTGAACTTGACTAGTCTGTGGTGTCGCATTCATGTGGAATGAGTGCCAGCTCAGCCTTGCTGTTTTTCTTCATCTGAACAGGCACAGGGTCATAGTGGAGAAAGCTGGGAGGATTTTTCTTTGCAATCACCCCATGACTCAATTTAGGGGGCTGTTTAGCCTTTTCCTTTTAAAATGGTACTTCGGGGTCACCTTTCTTTATAAAACTACATTTTCCACCAAAAGGAAAGCTACTTTCTGTATGAGCTAACATATCACAGAAATACTTAGGGACCATCGTGCAGCCCAAAATAAAAATCATGGATTATTTCATTTTGTGAAATCAGAGATCCTGCCATAGGACCTTTACTAAATAAGCCATAATTTACTTTGTTTTGCCCCTTCAGTAGAGACAAATCCTCTACTTCTCATTTTGTACTTGCAAATTAAGCCAAGAATAGAAACCACAGTCTTACTTGCATATTAATACGTCGTTTGCAAATTGTGATAGTTATTATTAGCTATTAATTATATATCCACCAGAAAAACAATAATCTTACCTTTTCTCATTTCCATATGACTTCTGTGCAACTTTTGCGTGAAGAATAAGTACTGTTTGATCCCCTCGCTCTTTTAAATAATTTCGCATAGCTTCCCTAAAATAAAATATAAACATTACCATTACAAGGGTAAGGTTTAGAATGTTACCAATCTCTGTAATGAGAAGAATCCTTAAGAATATTTTCCAAGCAAGCAAATCTAAAAAGGAAAATAAAGCAAAATAATTTCATAAACTAAATTTAAAGATGATACAATGGGGAAATAAATACTGCTCATCTTCAACTCTATACTTTGTTCTTTAAAAGAACTGTCCCTCACTCTTGGAATTTATGATGTAACTCAATTAAACCACAGTTACAACTTACAGAATAACTAGAATCCCTGTGTACATTGTTACTTTGGCTTTAAACTGTTTATAAAATTAATAACATACAGTATTTTTGTATTTAATAATCTAACTTAATACCACCACCTCTTCCCTGCCCCTCTCAGCTATTAGAATGAGTGTTTTTCACTGAATACAAAGCCAAAAAAATCATTATGTCATCCAAATTTATTATTATATGTTCTTAAAATAACAACCTTCCATAAGGACTAAGGGCTATCATTTATATATAAACACATAATTACCCTCAAAGATATTGTTAAACATATAAAATTTAATAAAAGTTAATACAAATTAGTGAAAAATTGAATTAAATTTTGGAAAAAATACATTAATTATTTTAAATATAAAATACTCCAACTACCTATTTATTATGCGAACACTGTATAAGAAGTTCAGTGTCCTAAATATATTTATTCACACAATTATTTTGCTAAGTAATACAAGAGTATAAAGAACACAAGGTCTACATAGATTAAGCTTTCACATTTCTGAATTAACTGCATTCCAATTCTTGAGACGTTTTATACATTACAAAATCAAAGACAAAGTGCTTCAAAGACAATCATCAAGAAACCCTTTTAATAAACTGAATGCTATTTTATTTACAGTATAAATAAAAGACAAATGTGTAAGGGGATGGCTGTACAACAGGAGTTATTAAATGTGGCGAATTCTAGCTTTGTAGCAGCTAGAAACTAAGTGGCCTGGGGCAAATCGCTCAACCTCATCCAGTTTCAGTTTCCGTATCTGATAATAACAGTGATGCTGACATATACAGAGCGGTTGTGAGTGGGGATTAAGTGAGATAACCTGGATGACAGCACTTATGTTTACTGACTGAAAACCTGCTGGCTTAAGGCAGGACAGGTAGCACTGGGTTTGAACAGATTTGAGAACAATCCCTACCACTGAAAAAGAGCTCAAAGTCCAGTAAAGACAATAAGAAAATGTTTGGAAAACGAAATGAAATACATGAGCCAAACAAAAGTATGACAAAAAGCTCCAACAGGGGATGCTTATGTAAAGGAAGAGAGGGGTGATAAAGGACCACTTCCCAGGAAAATTTTCTTAGAAGAGCTGACTACTAGAAGAAAGAGGACTAGACACAGGGAGTGGGAGGGAAGAGCATGGCATTCCAGGGCCTGGGAGTAGCATGAAGAGCCAAGAATGACCCTGCACATCTGGGTACAGGGAGAGACTCAGGCCGAGTAAGGCAGCCCAACAACACAACAGCAGCTGAGGTTTCTCGAGTGTTTATTACATGCCAGTCCCTGAACTAAGCTCTTTACATGCATTATTTCATTTAATCCCCATAATCCAAAAAGATAAGTATTGTTAACACCATGCTGAATGTCTTGCAATTAATAAATAAATGCTAGTCAGGAAGTTGAAACAAATTCTCTAAGACTGTAAAGTGAGCCATGGCAATGAATAAAACTGACCAGTTGGGTAGTCACATTGTGAAAGGCCTGTCAAACTCCTCAAAAATCTGACATTTGTAAACTTACACAGTATGTATAAAAGTTTAAGCCAATTCAAATATCACCCTATGACAGATGATGATAAAAGTGGTTAGCAGGTAATAAAAATTTTTAAGGGACCTAGAAAAAACTTAAAATGTTAAAATAAAAAAAAATCCATCTCTTTGAGAATTGGTTAAAGATCATCATTTAATTTGATCTCAACTCCATTATAGAAAAACACCATGCTGTGGAACATGGATTTTCAATCTACACAAATGGCAATCAGAGATTTTTTTAACATACAGTTAATTTCCTTTTTAGTTAATTCTAGTAGTGGAACAGAGAAAGGGTTTTAGAAAGCATAGAGAAAAGACAAACTTGAAGAAAGACTGACATTAAGAAAGAGGTAATGGAAGACAGTACAGGAGAAGAGTCTGCAAGTCTTTTGTTATGGGAGAAGGGTACACTGATAGGTTCTGTTTGACAAATGTCGACTCTGAAGGGCCCTGAACTCTACACTGGAAGTGTTCAATAGGTCGTTGAAAATAACCATCTGTAGTTCCAGAGAGGGATCTGGACTGGAAAAGTGGGGTTCACTGGTATATAGTTCACAAATGAAGCCACGGAAGTGAATGAAATCTCCCAGAAAGAAAACACAGTGACAGGAGAGTTAAGAAGAAAATGCATAAAAGGAAATGAAGAAGAACCAGTAGGGGCAGAACTGAGACCGTGTATTAGATGCTATGGAAGAGGCAACCTCAAAAGAGGGGAACCATCAAAAGGTGAGATGCTGCAGAGTTGAAGGTCACTTAGAGCAAGTCTAACAGATGCTAGCTAATAGAAAGCCTTACAAACTATTTGAAATGAGAGGCCATTTGATGTTTAACGGGTTTAAGAAAAAAAAAAGCTGTAAGTACAATTTGGAGACACCCTCTAGGGAGTGGAGAAAGAAACTGACTGTGTACAAATAAAATGACTGAAAATCAGTACTGAAGGACTAGCTACTGCTGGAATCCATAAATGATAGTGCAGATTCCCACTACCATTCCTAGAGTGGGACTGGAAATAGCATACTCTCAAATCTGCTGGGCACTGGACAAGACGCGTAGCCTGGAGAAGATAATGGTAAAGGATTTGAGGGGTTGCTAGGTCAGGTGAACAACCAGAGAGTTCAGGGTGGGTAAGAAAACAAAAGCAAAGCTAGGAGAAGGCCAGTATTTTGACAGAACTAGCACAGAAGTCCAGTTGCTGGCATAAAAGGTGAAAAGTTGCTATATACTTGAAAAAAATTTTTTAAAGAAATAATTTCAAATCTACTTCCCCACACTAAATTCTATTTGCATTTATAGTCTCTATTATGTCATTTAGCAATTACTTGATACGTGTGTCAGATTTCACATCTTTTTACATTGTCTTCCCAAACAGTATGGGAAGGCTTTAAGACATACTATTAGTTGTATTTTAGAAAGGGAGGAGGGGTTAAATAACTTCCCCTAAACGATACTGAAGTTCCAGGATTCAGAATTAGTCTAGCTCTTGTGGACAAAATTACACCATCATGTATTTTGCACTGGCTACGAGCACAGCTTTGGTATGAAACAGACAGGAGTCTGAATTTTAACTCCTGTCACTAACCCTGAGTCTTCTCATCTGTTAAAAAACGAAGACAGTAATAGCTCATACTGTGAAAAATATTTTAAATTAAGTAACTCTAAGTAAACCCGACTGAGTGTCAGTAAACTCCATTATTATTTTCTTAGAAGGGCTGCAGGAGGGAAAGGGAGGAAGGGGCCAGAGGAATTCCACTGAAGTTTGAGAGCAAACTTGAAAAAGACCTGGAGGCAAATGATCAGGCATCTTACCTGACTTGCAAGGCACACATTCTGCAGACATAGTAGGTATGCTGCACTTTTACCCATTTTCCCATTAAAGATGTACTGAGAGCCTACTACACCCCAGGCACTAATTACTGTGCTAGTCGCTTGTATTGGAAGTAACTTCACAGTAACGATCATGACAAAAGAGTTCAGGTCCCAAGGTGTTTATGATGAATACAAGATGACAGCTCAAGTTTTCCTTGTCCTTTCCCTTTATATTTATAATACAAGTTCTTGAAAAAGCAACTTGAACTTTAAGTAATCATTAATAACAGCTGTCCTGTAATAGTGATTTGCCAAATAGCTTCTTTCAACAAGAAAAAAAACTTTGTTAGTAGAACATGAAACATTAAAATTATGTTCTCTGGCAATTAAAGGCTGATAGCTTCATTCTGCATCTTAAGGAGCTTTTCTTTTTTAAAAATTTTTTAAAGGCAATATACTCAAAAGAAACACAAGTAGTAAAGCCCATGGACTGACAGCCCGTGTGCTTTTCATTCAAAGTGCGGTTTCCTTTTCGGCACTGTGGACGTACTGGCAGAACAATTCTTCGTTGTGAGGGGCTGTCCTGTGCACTGCAGGGTATCTGTCAACATCTCTAACTTCTACCCATTAGAAGCCAATAGCACCTTTGGAGTTGTGACAGCCAAAAACGTCTCCAGATACTGCCAAATGTTGGGGGGGTGAGGGGAGGTACTTGGGCTGAAAACCAATGGATCAAAGAAAACCAGAAATATTCCAACAGTAAGATAAGAAAAGCACACAATGTCTTTTAAGGAAAGAATGAGGGAGATTTTACCACTGGAAAACATAACGTAGGTGCTATGAGAATCTCACCAGTAGAATTACTACTTTGTATACCTCAATTGTTAAAAACCAGTACTGACAAAGCTAAAATTCATAATTTGTTAAAACAGTTCCTATCTAACAGGGTTTGAAGTGTATTCTTTATTATTATTCCTTATAAAATATTCATTCTGAATGAGTCAATTAAAAATTATCTGAAGAACACAATGGAGCAACTATTTCTGAAAGTTTCCTTACTTAAAACATGAAAGCTTAAATGTTTACAAAAGTGGAAATTTTGATTTTATCAATGTTTCTACTAACATGAAATCATGGCAATTGTCATCCTAGTTTGACATGTTTAAACTATCATCCTCTTGGTCAAATTTTTGGCTGTGTTTTCTTTGATAAATTTCAAAATTTTTAATACTGCAAACAAAATTCACAAAAAGAATGTTCTTTTGATGTTAACCCCCATTCTTCTGAAAATAGACCCTCTAACTTTCTTACCCCACTTACATACACCACTGTGGTTGTCCCAACGGTGAACAAGTGGTTTAAACCAGAGGTAGGTGTGTGAG